ATTTTATTTGTTTGGCTCTGTATCTATTTTAAAAAGTGTCACAATAATATGGTAGGTCACTGAATTATATTTTATAAACATATTTACCAGAGATGGAGTATAACGAAGTGTATGGTTTACTGGCAAGCTAAGTGATGTGAACAATCCCTAGCGTTTGATTAGTAGATCATTACTCATGATTTGTCATGTGGTTTCTGTATATGTGCACTGTATAAGACTGTTAAATATATCGATGCTTAGGAATAAAATTTTGAATTTTCTTGTCAGATTATTGATTTAATATAAGACCATATGTATATCAAGTTTTACCTTATTTTTACTTGTTTTATTCGAGATTCTACCTGTATTATCAATTTTGTCCATTACCCAGCTTATAATTCCCAATTTACAGTTGTTTTCATAGATTCTAGGACAGTTAAAATTTCTCAAGAATCGAATCGATAAGTTACTGCAGTAAACTCAAAATTTATCGTGCAAATTATCTATAAATTAAGAGTTCGAACTGTTTAACTAGGATGTTAAACTGTTTAACCAGATTTGAAAATCAATTAAAATTAAAAATATATTACTACCGGAACTAATTCAGTTTATATAATAAAATTGAACCAGTTTAAAATTATTTCATGGTTTCTGGCCATATGTTAGTCATAGCCAAAATTGTATTAGTGCCAACTGGATTAAATGATTAATACTTGTAAACAGTCAAACGGTTAGAGGATTTATGCGGTTCCAATCTCAACTATTTAGTGATCATACCCAGCTAAATTTTTACCAGAAATAACATTTAATAAAATCTAATAACTGGTTTTATTCCCCATCGAAGTAAGAGGGTAACGGTTATATCCGGATATAAACTCTATGAAAAATGTGCTGTCATGTAATTTTTTAAAATGATCACCTAGATTTTAATTTATTTATTAAATTAAAAAACTAGATATAAACTTCTATTGCATTTGTATTATTTTATACGACTAAATTATGAATAACGATTATACATTTAATTTTTTATACAGTAGAATCAAGTCCAGGGGCAGCACTGTAATTAGCAGTTCTTCTTACTTCACCAACAATTATTTCACCGAAAGCGAAACCCAAATATATGATGTCAACTAAATGGGCTATTGGCTATAGTTGCTGGTGAAATTAATTTCACCAATTTCGCCAATTCACCACCAATTTCACCAATAGTGGTGAAGTTATTTCACAACATTTCACCAGAATCCATACTATTGATTGTCGATTAAGTACACATTTGTGTAGCATATTAAATAAATGCAATCTATTTAAAAATTATTATTTTCTTGTTTCATGATAAATATTTATGATATATAAGCATCATATGAGTGACGCCAAAGGAAAAAGGAACATTCGTTTTTATTGATTATATCTGACGATCGACAGCTTTCATTAAGGTTACAATTTTAAGGATTTCAGAGGTTAGTTATCATAATTGAATCATCAGATAAATAATAAATAAAAACGAATGTTCCCTTTCTCTTGGCGTCACTCATATAAATGATGCCAAGGGAAAATGAAACTTCAATTATAATAAGTTTCATTCCTTGGTGTTGCTCATATATTATTATACTCTCTTTTAAATTAGCTTGATAACTTAACTGGAAATTTTAAATATTAATCCGTTAACCAATTTAATAATCCAGTTATCCGGGTAACCACCAGCTATCATAACTATTAAATCAAATCTTAACTATTTAGCTTATTATTGTAGCTATTAATCATGTCCAGCCAATCATTAATAAAGCATTGTATTTTAAATTAAAAATTGCTAATACTCAGCAAATATTGTAATTTCGTAAACAATGCTAGGTAAATCTTATACATAATTGAATATATGAGTACGTCCAATAAGTAGCAAGTTTTGATATTTTAGGTAGTTTTGCACCATACCCAAATTATCTAATCGAGTAAATTCATAAATTTACCTTCTGGTTTTGCGTGACAACGTCGCGCAGCTACTTTATTTATTATATATTAAAAAATAAACTTAAAAAATTATTAAATATAATAATATTATTATTAAAATTTTAAAAATTTTTAGAATAATTTTTATTAAATTATTGATATATTATATAAATATGATAATTTTTATAATATTTTTTATTAAACTATTGATATATTATATAAATATAATGTTAAAATTGAAAGATTCTGTAAAGTATCTGTTCCAAATCAGGGACCGTCTAAAGCCAGGTAGTATTTATACGGCACGTGATTTTAATTTACGAATTAGTAACCAATTTAAAAACTACCTGGCTTTTTTAGACGACCTCCAAATGAGGTTCATATCGGGATGACGTAATGTCAATTGGAGCCCGATTTGCCTTGAATAACTGAGAATATGTTGGATCCAACTTATGATCTGACAGAGGCTTGGCAATATGTTGAGCCTCCAAACAAACCAATAATGATCGCGAAAAAAAAACAATTAAATATTTTAATATTATCATTGACTAATTGCACATATTCTCACATATTTACGTGGCAAAGATGAACCATAGAGGCACGACTATTTTTATGAAAATAAAAGTCTCTACATCAAAATATAAAAGTAATAAACTAAACTACTATCACGGTCAATCCAAAATGTCCTGATCTACTTTGAGCATTCTAAAAATAGATTATTATGAATTTATAATAATCTATTTTTAGAATTTCTGATTTTACTTTTATTTTACCCATCTTTTCTGTCTTGGTATGGGTAAATTTTCACGCAAATAGAAATTATTGCAGATCGGTAAAATACGTATACATGACACCCGTGACGGACGATGATTTATAATAAGTGGATAATAATATTGAGCATTATTTATTGTGCAAATCAATAAATAATTTTGGGATCTACATAGTAAATAGGAAACAATAGTTATATCCATTGTATAAATTCATTGTATAAATTTACATAAATAATGTACTGTATTCCCTAATTATTCATCTAGTAATCAAACATAGATTTCAAAAGACATATATATTTATCGAATATCAAGTAAACATGTGAAGAAAACTTGTTAAATAAATCTGAGAGACAAAATAGGGCCGAAAATTAGTTAGTCATTGGTCCTTTTTGAAAGTTCTACGCTCGATTATGCTCACGCTAAAGGGATGATCGATCGATCGATTGTATGTGACCAAGAGTTTTATTTCCAGTGTAACTTAACCTATAACAAATTTGGAATAAAAAGGCTGTAAATCATATCACATTATCCAAATAACAAGCTAATACAAATTAATTAAAGCCAAACCAAAATAGGATAAACGTGTTTAATTAACTATTAAATAAATAGTAAATAAATTAATCCGGGTCATCCGAGTGGAAATCACTTAACAGAACTTATAAGTGACTTTACGAATACAATCACTACACTTAGTGATAAGGAAAATGCGCATTAACGGACTAATGCGCGTGAATACATATTTTATGCATTGTTCGGATTTATGCGTATGAATGCGTATTAATTCCCAATCATGCGCTCGCATGAAACCCATCTCTAACTGTACTACTTCCTGTTTCTAACTCCAGTTAAAAACATCGTCGGAAAAAAAAACCAGATTACATCACCTAAAATTTATGCACCAGTATTGCCAGTATCACCAATATCACCAACATCACAAGTATTTTAAGTGTTACCGGTGTCACCAGCAATATTGATTGGTGATGTTACGCCCAGGATCAGGAGAGTAATGTCCATGCATAATAAGTTAGTCTTGGGCGTAGCATAAATTGTGCGAAATGGATGATTATTATTATAGATTCCAACATACGTAATAGTTAGTTGTTAAAGGAAATTTGCTTAGTTAGTAGTTAAAGGTTAAAGTACATCATTACTTTATTTATTATGTAACAAACAGGATGAAATATTTATTCTCTTTATTAGCTTGAGCATTGTATTTATACATTTTAGCTTCGAAGGGGTTTCACGTTCAGGGGTCATTACGTAAATATAACTAGAGATCTAGCCTATTACGGAAAATGAGGTAACAAACTATGACAAAATTAGTGTAACAATGGTAAAATTGGTGCATCTTTTAATTTTCAACTGCAACTCTAATCCGAGGTAACTCTCGGAAAATAGTATCTCCTTGCCTTGTTAAAATGATCCAACTTTTATACCTTGGGACTAATTGTAATCACATTAGAAGGTAATAAATAAATTTTCTGCAAGACCAAACTATTTGACAGGTTACGACTAATTGATTAACATCGACCCATATTATTAAATGTTAGGGTGTTAACTTGGGAAGAGTTACTTTAGAAAGAGGATTTAGAGAAATGCCAAAATTAGGAATAGAATTTTGGTTTCTTGTGAAACCAATAACAATTTCATAAGCAAGATTTTTAAGCAGAATAATTGTTTTTTTTTCTTAATTTTGTTGATTAACCTGTCACACGTTTCGAACGTGCAAATTTCAGTCATTTTAAATGTCTATCTGTTTGAAAGTACAGTACAGGGGAATCGATTAAGCCCTGAGGAACGGGGAACTTTTTGCCTAGAATTACCGGTACCGATTTTTTATCTTAAAGTATGAAATGTAACACAGTTTCCTTGGCGTAGAAAACGTTTATGTAGTCTGTTCTCAAATCACATCCTTATATATCCATACCCTTTTCATTGTTACAAAATATATGACCTTTATATAGTCACATAATCATGTTTTCCCGCCTGGTGATTATATCAAGTTTGAATCTGGTCCATAAGTGTACGAAATTGTTTGCAGGTATCTTGCAAAATTATTAATAATAATGTTTTCTTGGCACAGAAAAAAAATATATACAGAGTACAAAATTTTTCCTTGCCTTTTACGTTATTTATCTTTCCCTTATTCCATAACAATTATTCTTCATCTCAAAATAAAATTCTTGTTACTTTCGCTGGTTGAAAAGTAAAATTTTTATTGAAAAAAAAAAGTTTTCTTATTTACTAAGTAATAAAATTATTTTTAAAGTTCAATTAAACGAAAATTATCAATCTTTGTCAATTATTATGGTTTCCACTTCACTCTTTTTCTTGGTGATTTTAATTTCTGCTGTAATCGCCCAGCAACAATGTGTACCCTACACATCTCAGTTCACTTTTACGCCTGGGGAGTATCCAAATATTTGGTCAACACCTTCAACCGAAGTTTTTAACACAGCTGAATTCAAGCAAGTCAACAGTTCAATTAAATGGAGTATGGTACCCAATATTCCTCCAAAAGTAATGGTAAATGGGACTTTCGTTTCGAGTACTTATCCTGCTACCGACCCAGATTGTTGGTGGTCCTACAAATTGTGTGTAACGCCCAAAGCTCCTGGAGTGAACCCTGATTATTACATGTGTCCTGAACCTGGTAAGAACTCAATTGTAATAATTTGTTAAAAATTTTTGAGAGTTTCCGTATCGAATTGGTTATATGTTTGTTACTAATATTGGATTATTCGTTCTCGAAAGACACCTGGGGTTTAACATACGATGATGGTCCAAATTGCTCGCATACTCAATTTTATGACTTCCTTAAGCAAAACAACCAAAAGGCGTCTATGTTTTTTGTTGGATCAAATGTTGCTGATTGGCCCAACGAAGCTATACGTGCACTCACTGATGGTCATCATATTTGTGTTCACACATGGTCTCACCCCTACATGACTACTCTTACTAATGATCAAGTGCTCGCAGAATTATACTACACTAGAAAGGTTATTAAATATGTCATGGGTATAACACCTCTTTGCTGGCGTCCTGTAAGCATCACTTTCATGATAAAAATAATCAACTAAAAAACTAGACTTATTTAATAAAACTAGACTTACATCATTTATCTTATTTTCCTCTGTTAACAGCCTTTTGGTGACGTTGATGATCGAGTTCGTGCGATTGCTCAGCAACTTAACATGTCAACTGTTATATGGAATCTTGGTACGTAAAATATTTGGTTAAACAGTGTAGAGTTTTCTTTAATTTAACGACAATGATGACATTTACAGACTCTGATGATTGGCAAATGCAACCTGCGGGCTCATTTACATCAGCACAAGTTGACTCCATTTTCCAAGGCTTTGTCGACATGGGTAAAAATGGCACTTTCGCAACTTCTGGAGCGATTGCACTGGAACATGAACTAAATAATGGAACTATGTCGAAAGCTGAGCAATGGTATCCGGCGATCAAAGGCGCCTATAAATATGTTGTTCCTGTCGCCACATGTTTAAATATTTCCCAGCCATATGCTGAAACAAATTACACTTACCAAACATTTGCTCAGATGCTTGCCACGACTAGCAATAATAGTACCAGTACTCCTGGTGGTTCTGGTACTAGTTCTGGTCCGAATGGTGCTAAATCTAGTACTACCAAAAAATCATCATCTGTTTCGATAACGAGTTACATCAGCTTAATTTCCACAGTAGTCATAATGCTTATAGCACAATTATTTGGTAACCTATTTCAACAAGCATAGAATATTTGAAAATTCCAACTTTAATGAATTAGTAATTTAATAAGGTCATTTAACAATTATCTTGATTTTTAGACATTTTTTTTTTTCATTTATGGTTTCATACTTGACATGGGTTTAAGCAGATTCATAGATTATAAAATGTATTTAGGGGCATTCATATTCATTATTATATAAAAAATCGAATGAAAATAAAATTTTAAAAAATTTCATTGCAGAAAATGGTTTATATACACAACCTAAATTGACGCAAATGAAATACTTTGGCAGTATTATAAAAAGATAATCTTTACCTTTGTAATTTAATTTATAAAATATAATGATTAAGTTGAAAAAATGAAGCATTTGATCGATTTTTTTCAAAGAAATCCTTAAAAAACCTGAAATGACATATTTTGAAATCAATAAATAATTACACTTATAAATTAAATTAATTACTAGTTCGCAAATTAATGAGAATATTTATGTCGTGTCTTAAACTAACACTTCTTAAAATGTTGATCAGTCCAAGTTAGGGTAGGGTTAGTGTAAGGATTAGTGATGCGGTAAAGAATCGGCACAAAGATTGTCGTAACTTACCATAACATGCCGTAACTATACGTAGTAAGTAATATAGTAAGTTAGCTATAATTCCGTAACTTACTATATTTTACCATAGTTACGGCAAGATATGGTAAGTTATGACAATCATTGTGCCGATTCTATCATAAGTGAACGTTAAGATATACGTAATTTAGGCCAATCAATGTCAGTTAATGCTGGCCAAAAATTCGACATCTGAGGCGCAACATTAATATGGAAATTTTACAGATGTGTTTAGAATCCGTTTTTATACTTTTTTTTCTTTTTATTGAAATTTATTTAAAAGTAAACTTATTTGGGTTCCTACTATGAAAATTTTATTAAGTGCGCGAGAAAATCAGCCTCTTGCTCTATACATAATAAATCATTTCACTTATTTATTCTCGAACTAGCGCTTAATACAAATAAATTCTTATGAATTTGAATTAGTATAATTGTAGTATATATTAATTTTTGAGATCAGTTTTCAAACTAAAGTTGGAAGTCAATTAATTAAAAATTGCCAATTGAATTTGCTTTTATTGTTGTTCTATATAATAAAATAATGCTGTTTCCTCAAGTTAAATTGAGAATAATATTCATATTGCAAAATAAATAATTCTATATTTTCTATTGGTGATTTATATGCTGGATGGACATGACCGGTGTTACCGTATGAATATTTTTGGTATTAAAGTTTCTATAATTAGTATTACTTTTTTATATACTACCTTATTTTCTACGTACGTAGCAGATTATTGTCGCCTATTCTTGAGTGAACATTATATAGGGTATTTTGACAATTTTTCAAACTTTTTTATTATTATTTTTTTTTATTATTTGATTTTTGAATACACATCGGCGGATTTGCGGAATTGGTCCTGAAAAATTTGTAACAAACAAATGTGCATATGTACGTGCATAATTTAAGGGGTAATAGGTACAATAACGCCGTTATTGTATCCATTTACCCCTTAAATTATCTTTATATGTACGTACTGTATACTTGTTTGCTACGAAATTTTGGGTTCATTTTGGGATAACTTTGAAATCTGCCGATCTGAGATATGTATTCAATAGAGTTTGCCACAAGTTACAAAGGTTAATTATACAATAAAATATTCACAAAACGAACTTTAAGTAAAAAATTTTATATGTATTACTATTTGTAGATCATTTAAGTTCGTTTAATACGTGACATCCCATCTTATTACCTTATAATGTATTTTCCCGTCGTTATCTTATCCAATTATTAAATTAATAATCAAATCATTTGGCTTAACCGGATTAGAGTTTGGAATCGGTTTTATTTTCATATGTTAAAACAGGTTTTAATCGGTTTAACATATAAAAAATAAACCCGGCTCCAAACCCTAATCCGGATCTAGACCAGAGAACATATAACAACATAACATCATATAAATAGGGTCGCTTTCTAAAAAAGAGGTGGTGAGACAAATTAGATCGGAAAATGATATCGAGGACTTGCAATCAAGATAGTTAAGATTCAAGTTCAATTACCGATAACGATCGAATTGTCGTTCAGTTCAGAGGATTTATTTTATTTAGTGCGATTTGCAAAATAATTTATTTTTGATCAAATATACGATCACTAATTGTTGATCGATTGCTCGTATAGTTGTTAGACGAAACCATGTGATGCTAAATGTCACATATCAAATCTTAATAAAATTAGGTTAAATTTTTTGGTCTTGGTATTTTGTGACAGGTGATATTTAGCATCACATGGTTTCGTCTAACAACTATAATTGCTCGATTGTACGAAACGATTTTTAGCGAGTATAACTACGCCTAACAAAGATTATGAAAGCTACATATTCGTATTTTAAGAAATCACCATCACAATCGGACTATAATCAAGTGATTGTATATGTGAGCGACGATCTATACAATTTGCAAATCGCAATAAATCATCTAATTTACAAGATCCAATTTTATGATGCCAAGAGAAACGGGTTTCTCTTGGTATTTTGATATTACTCGTTTTTAGATTCCTTAAGCTAATATTTAAGTATTACACAACAGATCCGTAAAATTGTATCTTGTAAATTTAAAGTTAAATTCTACAAATCAAATCTTTAAACTTTTTCAATGAAATATGATAGGATAAAGGCCATATGCAGGCGATTTAGAGGTTCAAAAACATCGGAAATCAAATGAACGCCAAATTTTTGCGTCATGATTTATTTAGCCATAATAACCCGCTCTTGTAAATAATATAATAAACTGCTCTCCCATCATAAAAACTATTTTCATTTTTAAAATACTTAATATCAAATGCTTACGACTATAGTTAAATCTGGCAACGCAAATCATAAGTCTTCAAAGAATATGATTTTCTTGGCGTTTTTAAAAACTGTGAAATTCTGCACTTAAACTTCATGATATTACATTGATAGTGCTACGTATATTTATATATAATATGAAATTTGTGTATAATTCGAAATTGGATTCTAAATTGGATTATCATTATATGGTGTAAATTGATCTGTTGTTACTATAAAATTGAAGAGCTGCAGCGATTTAACTCTGATAACAACTGGTAACAAAATAGAATAGCTCTTTAAAAATAACGCAACTTAATGTGTAAAATTAATATCAACATAATTATTGTACGGGTCTTATGTGACAACCCATGCTTTTTTCATTTACTTATTGGCACGGGATTGTTATGTCAGACACCGTGCAATAAGATAGTAGTATGTTGTATAACCCAGTTACACGCACGGGTTCATATTTAAATCCCGTGCCATCGGCACAGAATACGAACCCGTGTGTAACTGGGTTATTCACTACATACCCATGTAATAACTATAATTAATTTATCTAGAGTTCCAATCAGGATAAATCTATCATCCGTATCTGAATTATCCGGATCGCTCAGATATCGGATAATTATCCGATCGTTCAGATATCCAGATAATCCGAAAAGTATTCAGATAATTATCCGGATCGCTCAGATATCGGATAATTACCCGGATCGCTCAGATCGGATAATTATCAGATCGCTCAGATATCCAAATAATCCGAAAATATTCGGATAATTATCCGGATCGCTCAGATATCCCAGATAATCCGAAAAGTATTCGGATTCAATTAGATATCAATAGTAAACGGGTGTCCAAATAAATTCGGATCCGGTGTAGCGCCTAGAATTAGTGATTGGATCTGGATACTTAAACGGATATCGGATAGATATCCACTAAACAGCTATTTTCATAAATTCTGGAACTGAAACATTACCGAGTCCGAATCAAATTTCTAAGTTCGGCCGAAGTCAATTACTTATTGATTACGGCTCGATTCGGTCTTCGGCAATTATTTCAGTTGTTCCAGAATTTATGAAAACAGGTAAAAATATCTATCCGATTTCAATCTTACTATATAAATCCGAATTTTACAACCGGATTTTGTTTTTTTTTTTTTTTTACAAAGGTGCATTACAGCTATTCTCAAATTTTGGGACAACTGAAAAATTGCCAATGACCGAATCGATAAGTTCTGAGTCGGCCCAAAGTCGATACTTATTTACAGCTATTATCATAATTCCTGGGACACCTGTAAAAATTTGCCGAATGATTTTTCAGCCGACCCGGTTAAGTTATTGATTCGCATGATTATGATCCGTATAATAAATTAATCTATTTTTGTATCATATAATGATCATTTTACGATTGTCATAACAATAATATCAACGATTTTAAATTTTCGTTCGAATGCTTGTCCAAAAATGTTTGGTGTGCTTTAGTTTGTACAAATTTATGGAAAAACTGTTCATGTCAACCAATAAACCTTTCAAGAAGGAATCGAAAATAAATTAGACTTTTATAATAAATTTATTACTCGAACAGGTGCCACTATTAAAAAGTTAAATATGATCGACTGGTCTAAAAAATGAATCTCGGGTTAGGATTCATAACGACCAAGATTTTAATAATATTTGTCGAGAATGCATGAAGAATTATGATAAACAAAATCCAAGTAAAAAATTTTATATGTTTATATTTGTTTATATATTTTTCGTCTTCAACAAGGAACGAAAAATAATTAAATAATAAATACCTTCGTTTGAACGAAATGGATCTTGCCAAATAGGAATCGAAATTTTAGTTTAATTTTTTAAAATCGAATTTTTTATCTTCGACAAGAAATGAAAATAATTAGAAAAATAAATGCCTTCGCTTGAACGAAAATGAATCTTGCCAAAGAATAGGAATTGAAGTTTTATACAATTTTTTAAAAACTAATTTTCGTCGAAAAATAATTAGAAATGAATAAAG